AAAACCTCTAAAACCGAAAAATAATCTAAAAAATTAATTGAATGGCATGAAAATATAACCTATCCTTGAAAATATTAAGTGCACCACAAAACTTAATATAAAAATTCATCACTATACAATAGCTTAGTGATTACTACTTCTAAAGTGAGATTCAACGGAAATAATGTACAAGCGAAGATCAAACCGATTTATAAAAATAAGGTAAAATTGTTACTTTTGTCCTTATAATAGATCTAATTTATCATTTTCGTTCATATTATATTTTTGTATTAATTTAATTCTCGAAATTATTCAATTGTATAATTGTTTAAAATATTTACTGTTATTTAGGGTTTTAAGTTAGTTTTTAAAGTTTAAGATTTATGATTTAGAGTTTATGTGGTTATGATTTAAAGTTTAGTTTTAGAATTTAAGGGTTTAAATCAAGGTTAGTATATAGAATAATATAATTAAATAAATTTGATGGTTAAATTAACGTAAAATATGATAAAAGTAAATTGATAAATTATTACTTCATGGATAAAAGTGACAGTTTACTTAAAAACAAGTAGAGAAAATAGGAGAAAACGAGAAAGAAATTTTCAGATATGAAATTTGATAGTACAAAATCATAGATAGGGATGTAAATAAACTAAAAAATTGTTGAATTGTTCCTATAATATTGATTTCTTTACGTCCCTAATCTTGGGGGCTGCTGCTACCTATATGCTAACAGGGTCATGTCGGCACCATTTGCGATAGGCAGAGACAATGGCAGATGGGTGTCCTAAACGCAATGGTCTTAGGGTGGGGGCCCTTATTAAACAAGGAATCCCATGCAACTTGTTAATAAAGTCCCTTTCCATTTAGGTCTAGAGGTGCAAATTATTTCTTCTTTCTAAGAATGTGTCTTTGATAATTCCCAAAACTCCATGATTTTCAGAACCAGATCGGTCAACGAACCAGTCGTGTTATCGATTTATTAGTTCAATCGGTCGAATCGGTCAGACTGGTCGTAAGAATCGGACGACGTCATAATTATTTAAAGAATTAAATAAAAAATAAAAAAATTAGGTTGAACCGGTTCACGGTCCGATCCGGTTCGACTGGTTCAAAGTCGATTCGAACGGTTCCTTGCGGTTCACTAAAACCGGTTCAATCGAGGTATAATAGACCGGACCAGGCAACGATTCCCGGTTGAACCGACCGATCTGGTCCGATTTTCAAAACAATGCAAAACTCCCTTCTCCGATTTCTTGCATTTGCTGAATTGTCTTGTGTATTTGTGACTCCATCCAATTAGACTTTTTTTTTCATATGGGGTTTAAAAATTATGATTTATTATTGTTGATAAAAACAAATAGGATGGAGCGGAGCGGAGCGGAGCGGAGCGGAGCGGAGCGGAGCGGAGCGTAAGTTATCTGTCCTTATAAAAAAAGTCTCGTAGTGGGGGTTACGATTATGTGGGTATGATACAAGATTTTTTTTTGTAAATATGTATCAGGGTTTATTTATTATAAAGGAGATGTAACCAAAACCTATAAGATATTGAATGACGAATCTAGCGCCGCCCAAGACACCGATGACGTAAACACATTGCTGAATCCCGTTAAAATTTTTGTGTTCTTTTCGTTTTCTTTACCTGATTATTCAATAATTAATGTAATCCATTAGAGACGGAAAACTTCAAAGACTATGCTTTTTGATAATTTCAAAGGATCATGGTTCTTTATCTATACCTATTTGCTATTTTTTTTTACTTTGTAATAAGCTTTGTAAGTTAAATATTTATTTTTACTCCTATTTTTTTATTTTATATATTTGTTGTACTTCGTCGGTTAATCTTCACGTATTATCTTTGTATCTTAAAATATTTGAAGAATATTTTTCTCACAATTAAGTTTGTAGGCAAACATCTTCGGATAAAGAATCTCAAACAGTCAACACTCTTCAAAAAGTCTTGATCTATTGACATGATTTTGATAAGTTCAAATAATCTACCACGGTCAAATATATTATCATATAATCACATCTATTTAGTCTGCTAAACTATAAGTAACCATAATAAACTCTACGTCTCACACTTGAGTTAAAGATTGCTATAAAATATTTCGAATAAGATTGAGAGAGGGGATGAAACTATCTCACCCTTATTCATCCTCTTTCTACCTCCTTATGAAGACATAATACTTTGATATCTGACAACGATTGATTCATCATCAACTGTGACTCTTTGTCAAAACTAAAAAGATTAATATAATTATCATGATCCATTTGTTCTTGTCAACGAATGATACGGTGAGTGGGAACTGTTATGACCCAAACAACCATATCAACTCAGCAAACCCATCAATTGACAAATCAACATCTCAAAGCTTCGTAGGTTAAAATAACTAGCTATAAATGTAACGGAAAATAGGAATGTCATGAATATTGTTACAATCTATGAATCTTCTTTTATCTTCTACTTGTTACAATCAACATCTCAACCCTTGCTAATCTGGATCGACCCAGGTTGCACATTTGATTTTGGTAGGTGAGTCTTCCAGCAGAAATTTTCTACATACATAAGAACTCTAACCTGAGACTTTGCTTAAGCGATATCAAATTGCTTACCATTTGAACCAACCCTTGTTGATAAATTACTACTTATTTTTTTATAATAACTTTTTTGCGAATCAAATTAAGGATAGATACAAACTCTAAATTTGATTGGTTTTGATTTAATTTTATAGATTTGATATTTAAAAAAATATATTTATATTATTTTTTTCAAAAGATAATGATAATTTCATATTTAAGGTGAGAAATATTTAACCCGACATAACATAAAATAATAATGTAACTATTATCTCTTATATATTAAAAGAAAATTATTAGAAATATCCGCTCTAATATTTTTTAATTAAATTTATATTTTATAAATTAAAATTAGGGTAAAGTATAGTAATGGTCACTGAACATTTCTGAAGCTTGCATTTAGGTCCCCCAACTTTTAAAACTTGTAATACAGTCCCCCAACATTTATTCCGTTTGCAAAATAGTCCCCCAACTTAAATCACTGTTAGAAAATTAGGGTAAATTATATAAACGGTCATTGAACTTTTCAGGCACTTGAATTTAGGTCCCCAACTTTTAAAACTTGCAAAACAGTCCCCCAATAATTTTATTTTCTTATTAAATATAGATGTATAGAAAATATAAATGATTCAATTTATATTTAAATGTATGAATCATTTATATTTTTGATATATTTTATTTTTCTTGTATAAACTAGTATTTAAAATATGTTTATATTTTAATCAAAATATTTCAATATACGAAAAAATATATTATATAAATGTATATTTATATTTAGATGTATAAATAAAAAAATATAGCATATATTAATGTATGAATCATTTATATTTTTGAATATTTTATTTTTAATAAGAAATTAAAATTATTAATTATATTAGAAATACTCAACTTAAGATATATATAATCATGAATTATAAATATGAAAAATATAATTATTAAATTTAGTTTAAAAATATATAAATCTTAAATTTATTCTTTTAAAATATTGTATCAACTAATATTTAAAAATATATTAAATCTATCAAACAATTTATCAAATATAATATTTTATTGTAAAAAATATAATATTTTCCCATCATTATTGCTTTCAATTTTTTTGCCGAAGTTCAAATCTCATTATTTCCATTTTCCATTATATTCTTTTTTTTCTGGCATTGGTCATACTATTAGTATATGTATTATTGTATATCTCTTAACACAAACGATGGTGTTAGCTTAGTGGCTCCACCCTGTATCTTTCATTTGCGTGACTCAGGTTTGAGTTTGCCCAAGACCCAAATTTTACTTCTTTGTAACTTAATTTCTTCTAATTAGGTGGTGACATGTGTCACCAATAACATATATCATGATCATGTGTTAACACATGTCAGATCCTGGTTAAATGATTAATTTATTAAATTTTATTTAATTTAGGACCAAATTGATAGCATATATAAATAATTAGGTTGTGACATGTGTCACCAATGACACGTGTCATGATCATGTGCTAACATATGTCAGATCCTAATTAAATGATTAATTTATTAATTCTATTTAATTTAGGATCAAATTGATTATATAATAATAGACTTAATGTATAATAATGTCAATTCCTTTAACTGCCACTTCATCATTTGTATCAATTGGTAACGACTAGTGGCTTAGTTGAAACAGTTAAATAATTATGTTTTATGATTGATAAATTAAAAGATCGATGACAAAAGTAAAAATGGCTAGATAGTTAAGTTGTCAACCTAGTAGTTTACACTTTATTTATACGTCAAAATAACATTTTATAAATTTAAAATTCGAATTATTTTCAACCTCTTCTATATCCTAACTACTTTTTTTAATTAAAAAATTTCTTCAACAGATAAGAATTATACTATTATATTTATATAAAAAATATGTATCACATGAAATAAGATGATGACTGACATAATTGAATTTAATTGAATTATTTTAGAATTTAAGGTTTAGAATGAAATTGAATTACTTTGGAAATTGGGGTTTAGAATGAAATTGAGGTTTTTTGCAAGTTTTAAAAGTTGGGGGACCTAAATTCAAGTGTCTGAAAAGTTCAATAACCTTTTATATAATTTACCCTAATTTCTAACGATGGTTTAAGTTGGGGACCATATTGCAAACGAAATAAATGTTGGGGGACTGTATTACAAGTTTTAAAAGTTAGGAGACCTAAATGCAAGCTTCAGAAATGTTCAGTGACCATTACTATACTTTACCCTTAAAATTATATAGAATCAAGGACTCATTCCATGTCCATCCTAACCTAAGCGAAACGCACCATTATTCCATTAATAATACAAATTCTTTTCCCGAGAAAAAAAAAGAATGGCTATCATGCGCCATGGATGTCACTATCCCTATCCTTCACTTAAAATAATTCCATCCAGATATGAACTCAAAATCTTTTTATTCCCTCCCTGCCCCATAAATATTTCTTTCTTTTTTTCACCTCCTTTTTATTGATAATTTCTCTCGAATTCTTGGCTCTCCAATTTTCCAATTACCCGTCGATTATTTCGCACGCTAGCCGCGGTCGAGCACGCCGGCGCCGGCGGTATAATTCCCCGGGGTTCTCTTTTCTACTCGCCAGATCGGCTAAATCGCCATCAGGTAAGCATCCATACACTTTTTTTTTTAAATTCTGATTTCCTGTTTGTTTACCTAGAAAATAAAGGGAGAACAAATAAAGCAAAAAAAAGGTTTTCAATTTGAACTGTTCACTGCCAATGTTTTTTTTTCTATTCCATTTTCTTTATGGCTTTCAATTTCAATCAAACAGAGAGCATTGCTTTGAGCCGATCCTTGTTACTTTAACTGGAAACAGATCTTAAATCATTCTTAAACGAATTTAATGTTTGTTGTTTACATTGATGTTCTTGTTAATTTCTTTATATATTTTTTCAATAATGTTACTCTATTGAATTTTTTTAAGTTTTAAATTTGGCTAAATTAATGTTATTGAATTTTATTTATTTATTAATTTAATAGAATTATAGATCTTAACTGTGTGCTTTAATGAGGGGTGATCATTGTTGATAATGATTGCAGTTTTTGGAAAGAAAATAGTTATTATGTCTGCAATGAGTAATGGTTACTTAGAATTCACTTAATATAAGTAAACTATTAATGAAATTTAAGATTTTCCATTGATGTTAAATTTTCATTATTTGGAAAGCTTATAATTTCATTGACTGTGACATATTGGTGGATGAAGGAGTTAGGGGTAGTTTGATTTGGTTTGTTGCGACCAGAGGCGTGTCGAAAAGAGGAAAAAAAAGAAGAAAAAGTGATGCCTGGGTCCTCCAGATGAGAATTGATGTTATTGACAGCAGGAGGAGGGTTTTTCTCTTCTTCAGCGTCCGGGTATAGCAATGGCTTGGCCCTTCTGCTCTTGGGTCAGAAGCACGAGGACAAGTCCATGAGAGTTTCGCCGTGGAACCATTACCAGTTGGTAGACCGAGAACCCGATCCTGACCTCCAACTGGCTTCCACCAAGAACAGGCTTCCCCGCGGGTGCGCCTCTTTTGTCTGCTTTCGTGGCACTTCCGCAGGGCTCGACACACCATCACATTTGAAAGTTGGCCCTGTTCAACAACAGGATGTCTTGCCAGGCTCTGTTGATGCAAATAAGAGTAATGATCAAACAAATGAGGTTGACAATGCCAATAGCAATGTAAGAAAGGTTGTTTTGAAAAGTAGTTTGAAGAAGCAATTAAGAAGTGCTCAAGTTTCTCTTGAGGATGTTAATGATTGTGGGGCATCAGGGGAAAAGGATGGCGATAACCCAAGTCATACAGAACAAAGAAAGGTGCAGTGGACTGATTCTTATGGTAGCGAGCTTGCCGAAATCAGGGAATTTGAGCCCAGGTACATGAAATTTCTGAATTCTGACCTAAATTGAAGTTGTATAAGCAATGCAATTCAATTTTCAAACAAATTTTAAGCTTTTCTTTTTTCTATTTCTGTTTTTGTTAATGTGCCCCGTGAATGTTAGTAATCTCTCACTACGAAGATGTGAATAGGTAGATGCAACCAGACCAAATGCATATATATATATATATATATATAGTGTATGTGTGATTTGTTTGACAAAATGTTAGAAGTTGGGATGTGAATGCATAATTAGAATGCATCTATCGATTTTGTAAGGTGTGCGAGATCTTTCTTTGATATTAATTGCAACTGTAGCCATCTTCACAAGAAATTATTGCATAAATGGTAAATAGTGTATTAGGTTCACCCCTCTCTAATGCCTCTCATGTACTTTTTTGTGGAATTAGGAATTAGTAGGTGCGCAAGACCTTTGTTATTCATCTTTCTTGTGCATACAATTTTTTAATTAATTATTGTGATTTGGTGGTTAATTATTCTTGACATAATTCCGTAGTTGAACATCCCTTATCGGATGGTTAATTTTTTAAGGCATGGTTAATTTTTTGTATATTCTTATTGTTTAGTTTTTAAGGGATGGTTGCTGATATCATATATTTATCTTATGTCAGTGAAACAAGTGATTCTGAAGATGAATTCAGTAATGGAGTCGAAAAAACTTGTGCATGTACAATTATGTAGTTGGGTTATTATTTCAAGCTCTAATGATGCCATCAAGTAAAATTGCTAGCTAATCCACCTTAATATTTGTTTTGGAAATGCTGAGTTGATTTGTGGGCCAAGAAGAAGGAAGTTCTTTTCGTTGTCTATGATTTTACATTGAGAATGGAATGCAACCAATTGAGAGGCTTTCTTTGTTGGTCATCTTAGCTGGACTCATCTTGTCTCTATATTATATATTTAATTTGATATTTCAGTTTTGTCATCTTCGATTTCTTATTGTGCATCATCATTATAATAATTATTCTTATTGCACGACTCTTTGTTGTCCATATCTCGGGGAGTTAACCGCGGGGACTATTTTGTAACTCTTTGTTGAGAAAACTATAGTTTATTAATGAATGTAGGTGTGAATTTTATTATCGACAGTAAGTATAACCTATCTTATGAAAATTAATCAAAGATTTCGAATCTAATGTTAAACCGACAAGACGTTACACAAAATCTTTGTCAAACGTACACACAAGTGAGAAAGGAAAAAAAAGTTATTGTTAGATCAGGATTAGGGATGGGCATGGGATCCGAACCCGATGGGTTTCGAGCTGACCCGATCATTATGAATTTAATAGAAAAGTTAAGGTGAATTCTAAAAAGAATTATAATTAGTTTGAAGTTGGAAAAAGTGGGAAATAAATATTTATGGACTTTAAGGAAATATTTCAAGAAGTTTGAAACTATGATGGAAATACGATTAGTTTTAAACCGATTTAAAGTTTCGATTTTATTTCTATTGAATCTTATATTTACACTTAGATTATGTTAGTTCGATACTAACATATAGCTTGAACATTTTATGTTATTATATGACATCGTCAGACCATGGTAAATCTAGTGACACAAATAGCTCGAAAGGGAAGAAAAAAATTGTGGGATCAAGAAGATTATCGTGGAGGAAGTTCGATAGCAAGGTAAAAGTGATTGCATTTAATTTGTATTTATGTTATTGAACAAACATTGATTTACGGCGAGCCAGTTTCGGAGTGACTACATTAAAAAGTAACTCCTAATGTTATGTAAATTATGATTCAAACCTATATGTTTATTCGATAAGTAATAGAAGTATGGAATGAGATAAGGGAGTTAATCAAGGAAAAGTGAATAGAATTCAAGATTTGAATAGTAAGTTTAGGAAATTATTATAAATTATACATAAATGATTAGACAATGAAATTTATACCGTTGGATACATAAATTAGTCTAGTTTTGTATAAAACATATGTCTACTAATTTCGAGGTGTATATAAAAAGATACGAATTTTTATTCAAGGCTACGCCAGAAAATAGGACAACATATTCTACTCAAAACAGCTTCTTTCAGTCAACTTTGAAAATTCGCTATAAATTGTACAAATTGAACTATAAAAAGTGTCTCATATGGTTAGATTTGTATTCAAGTCTAGTTTCCAGTGGTATAAATGGAATAATTTTTAAATATGTATATTAAATCAAAATAATATTTATGTGAAGGTAGCACAAACTATCGAAATATGAAATTGTAATAAATTCGTGAAGAAGCGAAATGAAATTAAAGAATTTAAACTTAATGCTTAGTGAGGTATATATTTTGACTTGTATCTAAAGTATTAATGTGAGTGCAGTTTACTTATTTAATTATTATGTTCGAGGACTTACGATAAGTTAACCTCACATTATTTTAAAGAATATTTTTTTTTTATTTTTATTAAGTATGATTTTCATAATGTTTAAATAAAGTTTTACGGATAATTTAGGGCATGAACTGCCCAAATTTGTGTTTTCGTAATAAAGAATTGAAAATGATTATGATATTAAAATGTCGAGTATTAATTGAATGTGATATGATCTGAAAGCCCATGGTATATTACATTGAGAGTCATTGGTACAATTGGCATGTCATGAGGCGAAGTGATTATGATATATTGTGGTATTACCTGAAGGTACACTAGTAAATTTTTGATGTGATTGCACTTTGTGTGCATATTCTGATTCTGATGTGATAGCACTGTGTGTGCTTATATGTTCTGATTATGTGACAACAACGTTGGTGCAAATGATACGATTGCGCTGAAGTGCATAGTCTGATTATGATAAAAACACTAACATACTTATTGCACGCATACACACATTTGACTCACATACCTTGTATTCTCCTAAATATACGTTGAATTATAAAAATGAAAATAAGGAAAGTTCTGAAAGTGGTTGAAAGGAAAAAAATATGAATACGAAATATGGAAGTTCTGAAATGTGTCTGAATGGAAAGTATATGCAAAGTACACTATTGTTGATGTTGATTATTGTGATTTTGATAAAACTATGAGACCATGATTTTCATGTTTCTAATGAGGAAAATACGGCTTGGAAAGTCTGGTTTGAAGTTTTAAAGATTTTATTTAGATTTTTTTTTATGTTTTGAATTATTTATGATATTCTACTGACATAGTTCACTCTGTTTTATTTATTTGCCTTACTAAGTTCTACTTAGCGCGTGAAAATTTTCATGCGCAGGATCGAATAAAGTAAAGGACATGAATTGAGGAGCTCGCCATATCTTATGAAAATAAAACCTGTCGGTCGAATCAGTAAGACATCCTAACTTTGACTTATTAGTGACATGTACATTATATCTCTTGGGTTGCTTTATCAGATTTATTCTAAAAAGGGTATGTAATAGTAATTTAAGATTGATATAAATTTTGGTTAATTTTAGTTATAATCGTATTAAAGAATAAATATTATGAATGGTTTTAAATCAAGCAATATTAGGCAGTTGAAAATAAATACGAAATAACATGTAATTGCCCAATTGCTGCATAAAAATCAATTTTGTTTAGAACGAAAAGTATTATATTATGATTATGCATGTTAAAGGAAACAATTTGTTTTTAAATTGTAAAAAGGGTTGTTTTTACATGAAACACAATTTTAACCATTTATGTTCAACAAGTTTATGTTAAGTTAATGTGACATATTTAACTCGTAATACGAGACATATATAAGATATGAGTGTTACATTACCCTTTTGTCATTCAAGTTGGGTCCAAGGCCATGTCACTAGTCATATTCATATTGGTGTGCCTTTTAACTTTTTCATAGCCAAAACGACAAGAAGATTTGATTTTGGGTGGAATATCTCAACTTTTAAAAAAATTAAAATTCAAAAGGAATAAATTATAAATTGGTGTACCGAGATTGAATTTATATCTTTGAACAAGTCATAGTTCGAATATTGACGTTATAAATAGAGAAGCTTAGACTGTGAACACGGACAGACGTATGATTTTATGTTAAGGGGTGAACTTATAAAATTCTAGGAAGACGAAAACATATTAACAATAGAAAATACAAATAAAATATCTAAAATATATGATAATTTAAAAATTTTAGGAGTAATTGTTGGTCCATCCCTGACAATGAAGTACGCTTTCATAATATGCAATATAAATTAATTTATCAATAAATCAAATACAAATGATTATAAAAAAACAAAATCCAAAAAAAAAAACAAATAATAGTGGAAGAGATTGGATTTCATTATATGGCTTTATTAGGGTTTTGTTGGCCACCGGTTTGATGCTTTACTAGTTTTTTGCGACAATTTTCAGCAAAGTATAAAGCCTATAAAGCATGTTGCTTAAGAGACATACATATATGCTGTTAAGATATTCTTTCAACTACTTGTCTTGGAAATGTTAGGAAAAAATATAAATGGGAAAAATACACAAACTCACTTAGACTTTATGAAAATCTGACTTTCCCCTATGGTTTTAAAAATATCCATTTACCCACCTAATATTTATTGAAAAAATAGCACAGCTCCACAACTTCCAGCGAGGGGGTGAGGCATGGATGGTCAAGTCGATGTGATCAGGTGAAGGCGAGGCAATCTGCAACATTGTTACATTCTCTAGAAATCCATTGGAAAGATATGTTCCAAGCACGATGATAGAGAGCAGCAATATCACGGATCAGAGATAGGGGATTGGAGTCACGATCGGTGGCATATACGAGCTGAATGGCTTGCTTACCATCAGATTGATCAAGAAGGTTGGAAACACCAGAATTCGGCTTGGAGGATGTTGTTGTCTTCAATATTCTTGTTGAATCCAATGGACCACGGCCCAGAAGGGTCGCAGATCACGCCCCCGATAGTGCCATTCTGGTTGATTGTCGAGACCGCCCCGTCGATGTTTAGGCACATCCATCCCATTGGAGGGGCGTTCTAGGTTTGGCGTTGCTCTTCCTGGTCCTAAGAACTGCTGGAATTAGAGGAAGGGGAATCAAAGTAACTTGCCCAATTGAGGCTCTGAAGCAAGATTCTCCCCAGCAGTTGCATGATATTGTTGAAGATGAAGGTATTTCGAGACTTCCATATTTGCCATAAGATGGAGACAAAATAAAAAACCCAAGGGGTTCTCCATCAGTAAGAAACTGTTGAGTGCTAAGGTTATCCAGTATCCAAGAATGAAGATCCCTAGAGAAGAATGCATGTTGCATGGGATGTGGAATAATCCAAGACCAAATGCTCTGGGCATGGGGGCAGTACAGAAATTAGTAATACACTAAGAAAGAGAGTTGGAATATGTCCAGTTGTCTTTAACCATACGACGAAAATCTTCATGTTGGGTCCACCCTGAGAAATATCTGAACTGGGGAGAGCGAGAGGCATGAGAAGAATACCCGATAGAAAAGATAATCAGTATGTGGTCAGAGTGTAAGCGGTACAAATGACGAACCACAGTGTCAGAGTGGATGGTATCCTAGTGAGAGTTACAAAGCACTTGATCAAGTCCAACAAAAGAGGCTCCTCGACTCCAAGTGAAAGTAGGACCCTGGAACCTCATGTCCCGGTGACCATTATAAAAAATAAAACCTTTAAAGTCTTTACTTGGCCGAGTATTTCTGTTGAGCCGATCAGAAGAAAAAAGGGTAGCATTGAAGTCCCCCATGATAATCCATGGAGAGGTGGTTGAGGCAGCTATGGAATTTAGATGGGGCCATAGTATTTTCCGCTTTGTGGCAGCCGGGCTGGCACAAACGAATGTAGCAAAGCTGGTGGTAGTCTGAGAGATCTTACAATGTACAAACTGGAAGTGATTCACAAGAATGTCCACTGTTATCGAGTCAAACCAGCAAAGCAATATGCCGCCAGAGAAGCCAACAGCTTCAATGCTGTGGGAATACAAGAAACCAATGGAGGTAATAAGGGCGTC